CTATATTAACATTTTACACACATGGATGGATTAAGCAAAATGCCTATATTAACATTTTACACACATTTAATGTGCCTCAGAGTATTATTGTTATTATTATTATCATTATTAATATGGCATCTTCAAGACAAATAACACACACTTACTGATTTTAATATGTACCTGCATGCCAGCACAGGTGCAAGATGTGGAGTTTAAAGCAGTTAAGTTCATATTTTATTCATTCTAGAGCGTATATCAAGTTTTTATGTTATTTATATTGTTTATGTCATATTAGATGAATTGTGACAGATAAATAAGCCGTAGAGCGATATTAGCGTCATATTGAAGATGTGACGACTCTGCTTCATATGTAATACCTGTTGGTTCATGAGCAGCTCTGAGAGAGAGAGACAAGCAGACAGACACACACACACAGGTAGACAGACACACACAGGAAGACATAAAGATCAACAGATAGATAGACAGACAGACACAGATACAGACAGATATACAGGCAGACAGATACAGACAGGTTGAGGTGTAGCAGTGAAAACAAATAAAAAGAGTTCGAGAGTAAGAGCCTTTCATGCCTTCTTGCCACAATCTCCAGTGCAAGATTCAGACTTCCTCTTAGGGGCCATGGTGAAATTTATTGTCCAGTTAATACAGTTAATCCAATATGATGCTGCTGATAGGGCAGGGTAACTCAAACTGATGCTGCCTTCATGGCGTGTTGCCATCGCAAGTATCGTCAAATATTGTACAGCGGTATGCATCAGCTGGCCCAGCCCAGCTGCCAGATGCACGGTCGTAAGTTGAGTGGACATATGTCGAGCACGTCGTAAGTTGGATGGTAGGTGGAGTGACATGGAGAGCGTATATATCTGTAGGGGAAGGAAGGCAGAGTAGGGGTCGTCCTCGAAAAGGTTGGAGGGAGGGGGTAAAGGAGGTTTTGTGGGCGAGAGGTTTGGACTTCCAGCAAGCATGCGTGAGCATGCTAGATAGGAGTGAATGGAGACGAGTGGTTTTTGGGATCTGACGAGCTGTTGAGTGTGAGCAGGGTAATATTTCGTGAAGGGATTCAGGGAAACCGGTTACTTTTATATAGCCGACTTGAGTACTGGAAATGGGAAGTACAATGCCTGCACTTTAAAGGAGGGGTTTGAGATATTGGCAGTTTGGAGGGATATGTTATATATTTTTATATATGCTTCTAAAATGTTGTATCTGGGCACTCTTGCAAAAACAGTGATCATGTATAAGTGAGGTGAAAGTGTTTAATGATGAAAGTATTTTCTTTTCGGGGGAATTTCTTTCTTTTTGGGTCATCCTGTCTCGGTGGGAGATGGCCGACTTGTTAAAAAAAAAAAAGCTAGAAGCTGATAACCTCTCTGGCACAAAACCTTTTACGCTTCTGAAAGCTTGTGCCTGCACACAGCTTTCTAAATTATCACATGTAATAAGAAATGAACCACAACCGATACAAATATTCACCATTTAGTGTCATGACTAAAGCCTAAAGTGATGTTAATTTTTAAGGTGATATATACTTTATGAATACAAGGTAGTAGGTTGGTAGACAGCAACTGCCCAGGGAGGTACTACCGTCCTGCCAAGTGAGTGTAAAATGAAAGCCTGTAATTGTTGTACATGGTGGCAGGATTGCTGGTGTCCCTTTTTCTGTCTCATAAACATGCACGATTTCAGGTACATCTTGCTACTTCTGCTTACACTTAGGTCACACTACACATACATGTACAAACATATATATACATAACCCTCTGGGTTTTCTTCTATTTTCTTTCTAGTTCTTGTTCTTGTTTATTTCCTCTGATCTCCATGGGGAAGTGGAACAGAATTCTTCCTCCGTAAGCCATGCATGTCATAAGAGGCGACTAAAATGCCGGGAGCAAGGGGCTAGTAACCCCTTCTCCTGTATATATTACTAAATTTGTAAAGAGAAACTTTCATTTTTCCTTTCGAGCCACCCCACCTAAGTGGGATACGGCTGGTGCGTTGAAAGAAAGAATATACTTTATGGAGGTACTACCATCCTGCCAAGTGAATGTAAAACACAAGCCTGTAAGTGTTTTACATGATGGTAGGATTGCTGGTGTCTTTTTTCTGTCTCATAAACATGCAAGATTTCAGGTATATCTTGTTACTTCTACTTACACTTAGGTCACACTACACATGCATGTACAAGCATACATATACACACCCCTCTGGGTTTTCTTCTATTTTCTTACTAGTTCTTGTTCTTATTTCCTCTTATCTCCATGGGGAAGAGGAACAGAATAATTCCTTCATAAGCCATGCGCGTCGTAAGAGTCGACTAAAATGCCGGGAGAAAGGGGCTAGTGACCCCTTCTCCTATATATGTTACTAAATGTAAAAAGAGAAACTTTTGTTTTTCCTTTTGGGCCACCCCGCATTGGTGGGATACAGCTGGTGTGTTATCAGAAAGAAAGATACACTGTATGGCTGAACTGTTACTGGAGATAACCATATTAATCTTCAGGTAATCTAGCTTGTAGCAATGTGCTAAATGTACCCTGCCGGCCTGCTCAGTTGACTCTTGTGGCACTACCTATGAGCAGATCTGGCTGAAATGTGATCTTAAGTGAAGTTTTCTGGCAAGGTATTGGTGACTAATTTCTGAAATAAAACTATCAATGATTTATATTCTGGAATGAGACAAAAATGGTTTTGCTGCTTAGAAGAGTCACTGCAAGAGTAAAATACAGAATCTGGTACTTTTAAATACTTTTTATCCACTGGATACCTTGAGCACACACACATTTTGATCATAAGTTAAGAGTAAGGAACCCACAATGTAAAAAAAAAAAATTATATCTTACATAAAGATAATTATAAACTAATAGGGCTTACCTACAAAAATTATGAACAGTAACATATGACAAAGATACAGGTACTTGCTTTCGATTAAAAAAATTCTGTTTAAAGGAATTATTTGGATGCCATGGCAGGTCTAGAGATGTTTGCCATCTATAACATGAATCTGTATTGACTGGCTACACTCTATATCGGCTATGGAAGTTTGGAGTCAAGTATGACGACAATAAACTGTAATTTCTGTATTTTACACGTTTAAATAACAACAATGTGGTAGGGTTAATGCAGCAGTTTTGAATTAGAATACACATCTGGATAGCCAGCCCACCAAGGAAGGGTTACCCAAAGGAAACACATTCATCATCATCATTCACTCAATCACTGTCTTGCCAGAAGTGTGCTGATATCACAATTTAGATGCCCTAAACTGCCATCATACCCACCATTCCAGAATGTAGGTACGAGTGCCATTCCCACCTCCAGGACAAAAGTCCGGTTAACTGACTTTCCTGAATCCCTTCGTAAATGTTACTTTGCTCACATTCCAGCAGCATGTCATGCATTAAAAAACCACTTGCCTCCACTACAATCTAACTTACTCTCACAACCTGTTGGATACTAAAGCCCATAGCACTCTAAATCTTCTTTACCTCTTGCCTCCTACCTTACTGGGACTCCTGCTACCCCCTCTTTCCTTCTACTTCAAATTTATACACCCAGCTGGTCATCCTATGTTGCTCTATGCTCTCTAAATGCTCAAACAAATTTTAACAAAACCCCTCTCTCCTCTGTCCGTCCTCTCTCTGAATTATGGCCTTTGGTTAACCCCAATGCCGGTCTTTTAATTTCTGTGCTTTGAATTCTTTGGTTTCTAATTGCTCCATATGCTGCTATTATTATTAAGTATTGCCTTGTGGTGGGAGCCATATAACCATAGGGGTTGGTAGGTCTCTCAGACTACACGGATATCAGGAATGCAATTTTTCTAGACTTAGGATGTCAAGTAAAGGACCTTGACTAACTAATGTGAGTGGTGGTGTTGTCTCCATTTATAACTACAAAAGCAGATATGAAAAGGCTCTGGGAGGTAGGCAGGGATGTGAATCCAGCAACTGGCAAATTGAAGGGAAGGGAGGAGGTTGCAAGGAGTTAAGACTAGACCTCTGTAACCACATATAGTTAAGGTAAGTACATAAAGAGTAAGACTTAACCTGCCAAGTGTCTATCAACATGTGCTTTTGACAGACAGTAACTAACAGTGCCAGGGAGAATATGAGGCAATCTGCTTCGATCCAAGGAAAGGGAGGACAATTCTAATTCCTTAGATCAGGAGTACTTCACCGACATCAAGGCACCTACCTCCCTTGAAGGGTTTGTACTACCTCTAGCCTCCTCTCTGCATTGTTTAAAGCTTAAAATAAAACATATATAAAAATGTAGGTATCACAGTTCTCTCTCTTTTTACCTTCAAACAAACTTCTTTCAACAGATATTCCACCACACCACCCATTTTTTTTTCCTTCGTCTATTCTATGGCTCGCATCCTTTCACTTCTTCCATATTTTCTCCCTTCAATCTGGTATCTAATCTTTCATTCCCTACACTTTTTGTCACTCTTATTATAGTTAAAAAATACTGTATCAGATGTTAATATCTGGCAATTTAAATTCCTACCTCATGTAGTAACCAAAGTAGAGGGAGTATATCATTTATCACAAATCTCTTATCTAAATAGAGGGAAAATCCTGATGAATGTCAAAAATTTCTAACACATGATAGCACATCTGACACATTTTTCTTTGCACTATTCAGACATTTTAGAATATGTTAGCCTGTATGCTCTTTGGAAGGAATTACATAATTAGTGTGATTTACTTGCTGCTATGCATGCAGATTCAAAGATTTTTGTTGCATTTACTTATACCTTTAGTGCAAAGTAAAATGACAGGAAAAACAAAGTCTTTAGCCCTTAAACTGTCTAAACGTAGATCTATGTTTACACATGTAGTGCTCTGACCTTGATTTTCTCCATTTGAAAGCATGTAAAAAAAAAGTAGATCTACATTCGGAGTGCTACATGAGCGAACACAGATCTACGTTTGGACAGTTTAAGGATTTAAAATGATAAAATCACAGTAAAAAATTTTAATTTTATATATAATATCAATTACTGTGTTAATTTAATTACTTGTAAGACCGTTTTTCAACCATAACTCAAAAAAATTAAAGGAAAAGGGAATCTCAAGAATGTGTGTGCATAAAACAGCCTGTAATTATATCAAATGAGGGTTCATGCAGTAATTCCACTCAAACTTTATAAATAATCTGGAGGAAGAGTTTGTAACATTTTGAATGGTTCAGGTAGTGAATCATCCCTGTTAGCCTCTGGGCTCACCAGATAACTCTGTATGAAATGCTGAACAGGCAAAATAAATCATGATATATCAGTAAATAAACTCCATTAACACTATAAAATAAATTCTGCAATGATTAAAATTTAATGACATTGTAAAAAAAGACCAATATTTTCAGTCACTTAGGATATTACAGTTATCAACTACTGGTTTTCAGCAGATATGACTAGATATATTATTTTAGCATATTTCCTATTAACAATATTGTGTATACAATTTACAGTAAGAATCTCACCAATGCACCATAAGAAAGCTACAAATGCCATATTAATTAAGTTTATATCCACATTTCATGACTTTGCTCTCTGAAAGAACAATTTGCTATAATTTCTAAAGAATTTTACATCAGATGTGAGGGCCTGACAGTACTCATTAATAAGTTGTGGAGATAGTTCCATCTTCGGTAAATATTCTGAACGTAAATATGAAAGCAATTCATCACCTCTTTTCTTGTAAATAGAATGTAGACACATTACTGATTCATGAAGAGCCAAGATAGTCTGTGCATCATTCAGATCAAAGTTAGTTTTCAGTGGTGCTAAGAAGCATGCTGGAACAACCTAGAAAAATGAACACAAGGTTTTCATTACACATATATTATACATACAAATAAATGTATTATATGTAGAAGGTTGGTAGAAAATGACTACCCAGGAAAGTACTGCTGTCCTGACAAATGAGAGTAAGACAGAAACCTACATTTGTTTTGCATGATGGTAGGAGTGCTGATTTTAGGTAACAGGTTGGTAGACAGCAACCGCCCAAGGAGGTACTACCGTCCTGCCAAGTGAGTGTAAAGTGGAAGCCTGTACTTGTTTTACATGATGATAGGATTGCTGGTGCCTTTTCTCTGTCTCATAAACATGCAAGATTTCAGGTACATCTTGCTACTTCTACTTACACTTAGGTCACACTACACATACATGTAGAAGGATATATATGTATATACACACACCCCTCTGGGTTTTCTTCTATTTTCTTACTAGTTCTTGTTCTTGTTTATTTCCTCTTACCTCCATGGGGAAGTGGAACAGAATTCTTCCTCAATAAGCCATGCGTGTTGTAAGAGGCAACTAAAATGCCAGGAGCAAGAGGCTAGTAACCCCTTCTCCTCTATATATTACTAAATGTAAAAGGAGAAAATTTCGTTTTTCCTTTTGGGTCACCCTGGCTCGGCGGGATATGGCCGGTTTGTTGAAAGAAAGAAGAAAGATATATATATATATATATATACACACACACCCCTCTGGGTTTTCTTCTATTTTCTTACTAGTTCTTGTTTATTTCCTGTTATCTCCATGGGGAAATGGAACAATATTCTTCCTCCGTAAGCCATGTGTGTTGTAAGAGGCGACTAAAATGGCAGGAGCAAGAGGCTAGTAACCCCAATTCCTGTATACATTACTAAATTTAAAAAGAGAAACTCGTTGTTCTTTTTGGGCCACCCTGCCTCAGTGGGATATGGCCGGTTTGTTGAAGGAAGAAGAAGGATGAGTGCTGATGTCTTTTCTGTCTCATAAATACAAAAGATAACAGGCATATCTTGCTACTTTTACTTACAATTAGGTCACACTACACATGTATGTACACATTTATGTATACACACTCATCTGAGTTTTCTATGATTCTTCTTAATAGTTCTTCTTATTATTTTCCTTTCACTGAATAAGAATTTTTCCTCTGTAAGTCATGCATGTTGTAAAAGTCAACTAAAATGCCAGGAGCAATGGGCTAGTAACCCCTTTTCCCATATAGCTTACTAAAAATAAAAATAAAACCTTTAAGTTGGGATGTTTGAGATTGTTTCCAGTAAAAGTAAGCCTTAGACGGGGGTGTGTAATGTCAACATTGTTGTTTAACATACAGTGGTACTTCAACATACGAGTTTAATTTGTTCCGTGACCGAGCTTGTAAATCAATCTGCTTGTATATCAAATCAATTTTCCTTGCTAAAATTAATTGAAATGCCATTAATTCATTCCAGCCCCCCAAAAAAAACACCCAATTTTTTTGTTAAGGGTTTTTAAACAAGAAAAATGTATTTATAAAAAAGAAATGACTTTTGCCTTTTTTGCCAGGTCCTAGCAAGTTTTAGAAATGCACGGTGTAAGATGAGTGTCGCTCCACTGCTGACAGTGCAGCAGTGGAGTGTGGAAGAGTCTTTAAAGAGAGTTGAAAATGAACACGGATAAGAGTAAGGTGATGAGGGTATCAAACGAGTTAAAGAAAAATTGGACATCACACTCGAAGGAGGGAGTATGGAATGTGTTCAAATATTTGGGAGTAGATTTGTCAGCAGATGGGTTTATGAAGGACGAGGTTAACCATAGAACTGAAGAAGAAAAAAGGTGACTGGTGCACTGAGGTAGCTGTGGAGACAAAAAAAAAAAAAAACAAGTTATCCATGGAGGCAAAGTGAATGTACAAGAGTATAGTGGTTCCAACACTCTTACATGGATGTGAAGCATGGGTTGTGAATGCTGCAGTGAGGAGGAGGCTGGAGGAAGTAGAGATGTTGTCTAATGGTAATATGGGTTGTAAATATTATGCAGAGAATTCGTAGTATGGAAATTAGGAGGTAGTGTGGAATTACAAAAAGTATTATTCAGAGGGCCGAAGATGAGTTACTGAAGTGGTTTGGTCATTTAGAGAGGTGGGGCAACTAGAATGACTTGGAATGTGTATAAAACTGTAGTGGAGGGGAGGGGGGGGAGGGGTCATCCTAGGAAAGGATGGAGGGAGGGGGTAAAAGAGGTTTTGCATGCAAGGGGCTTAGACATGCAGCAGGCATGTGTGAGCATGTTAGATAGGCGTGAATGGAGACGAATGGTTTTTGAGACCTGATGAGGTGTTGGAGTGTGAGCAAGGTAATATTTTGTAAAGGGATTCAGGAAAACTGGTTACCCGGACTTGAATCCTGAGGGTGGGAAATACAATGCCTGCACTTTAAAGAAAGGGTTTGGGATATTGGCTATTTGGAGTGACATCTAAACAGTCACATCTGGGTACCTCTGCAAAGACGGTGATTATGTGTGAATGATGGTGAAAGTATTTCTTTCTGTTTTTGCATCACCCAGCTTCTGTGGAAGACAGCTGGCTTGTTGAAGAAAAAAATGAACCACTGGGATGTTGTGTAGTAGTATGTTAACCCTTTCAGGGTCCGTGCCTTAGATCTACGGCTTTATGTTCAGGGCCCAAACCGTAGATCTACGCCATGAGCTCAGCTCACTCTGATAAGCTATGAGCAGTAAATTTGGGCCTAGATATGAGAGAATACATCTATGTGGTATGTGTGCACCACATAAAACAACTCCTGCAGCACACAGTGCATAATGAGAGAAAAAACTGAGACTATAATTTTCGATTAAAACAGCAACTTTGCAGTGCTTTTTCCTATATTTTTTATAGTTGTATTTGCAATTTCTTGGTCTCATTTGATAGAATGGAAGATATACTACAGAAATAGAAATGATTTTGATTGGTTTAAATACTGGAAATGGCTTGAAACTGAGCTCAAAGTAGTAGAAATGTTAAATTTTTGCCAATGCTCAAGAGTAAACAAATGACCTCACAAGTCTAATACTTGACAGCTGGTGGGTCTAATATACATTCACAAATGTGGTTATATTATTTATACAATTATTACAGTATTGCATAACAGTAAATCTTCTATTTTTTGGTTTAAATAAAAATTCATTATGTGAATAAAAAATCAAAATGGAATTCATTTGTAAAGGCTGAAAACATAACTAATGAACAGAGGAAATGTTAATTTAGTGCCAGGAATGCCTGCATTGTTTATCCTGAACCCTATTTTGAAATTGGAATATTTTGAACTTTGCATTAAAGTGGCCAAATTACCAATTTCCGGTCACTTTATTTTGTTGTTGAAACAGTTGACTCGGCGATTTCTTGTGCTCAATCGATAAAATAGAAGTAATACTAGTGAAACAGCTAAGAATTTGGTTGACTGGAATACTGTAATTGCCTTAATATGGGAGTAAAGTCAGCAAAATCACCAATGCGTAAATATCGCTGACACATCAAAATTCGTGCATAATTTCGTCAATTTTCCATCAAATTTCATACTTTTTGTTTTATTACCTTCAGAAAAAGATTCTCTACCATTTCATAAGAAAAAATAACAAAATTATTTTTTGAAAATTCTTAGACCCTGGTGTGCACTTTGAAATTTGGCCTCTGGACCCTGAAAGGGTTAAGGTAAGGGTTGTAAACAAGAGGAATGAAATGAGCAATGACACAGAGAAAGAAAAGTCCATGCACGGGTTTAAAAATATATATGATAGGCTCAATTATGTTAGAAGAAAGTTAACAAGTGAGACAAAGATAGAGTTAACCCCCTCTTCCTACAAACTTGAAAAAGTAATTACATCTGAATTACAAAGGTACTTAGATTATGACTAAAAAATTAAGTCATATTATATTCATTAACAAGCATTCTACCTTCATTCATTTTCTCTCTAACATTAACAATCTTCACACTTGCACCACTTCCAACTACTGTACTACAAAAGTATCATATTGAAAATAGTTAACACAATAATAAATTTTACCAATGAATATGCTTTAGCTAACCTGTGTATATAAAAATTCAACAAAGCCTGGAGGACCTGCATCCTTTACACCCCATGCTTCTGTGAGACGCCTTAAGATAACAAAACAATTCTTTTGAGCTACTGGATCAGGAAATTCCACTGCACCTTGTACTACAGACATCAAGACCTATAAAATAAGAGTCAAATTAGTATACTGTCATACTCTATAAAATAATTTAATTATTATAGGTTCTGTTTTACAGAGTCAACAGGTAAGTGGCTCTGGTAGTAGAAAATGTCTTGAAACTCATCAAAGGTATAGAGGAGTATCTTAGTGAGATCAACACTGCAAACATGAAGTAAAAGAGGAAGAAATTTTAAAAAGACTAATAAGAATATGAAAGAAACAGTTGTAAATACAAATGCAAAGAAAGGAGTATGAGACTGTATTCCTTTCAACAATGACCTATGGTAATAATGTACAGTAATATACTTACAGGTAGGCAAATCAAAATTTTGAAAAGGTAAACAATAGTTATATGTGAGATAGGTCTCAAGAAGGCTTTCAAGATCATCTAGTAATAAAATATATTTGCACTGTACATATATAGAGAACACGCTAGTTATTGTAAGCAACACAAAACACTCAGCAGGCATTTATTTATTACATGGAAAGCATAGCCTTATATAACCAATGAACTATTGGGTACATAACACTTTTTTTTTTTTTACCATGCCAGCCATCTTTCACCAAGGCAGGTCACCATCATTCAGTGCATGTACATCAACATTCAGATGATTCTGTCAAAAATTAAAAACCCCACTTTCCACATTCCACTTTGCAGATATCAGATTTTGCAAGACATACACATATAAAGATACACAACATATCCCTCCAAACTGCCAATATCCCAAACCCCTCTTTAAAGTGCAGGCATTGTACTTCCATTTCCAGGACTCAGTCCGACTATTATGAAAATAACCGGTTTCCTGAATCCCTTCACTAAATTATTACCTGCTCACATCTCCAAAGATCGTCAGGTCCCAAGTTCCATTCGTCTCCATTCACTCCTATCTAACACCTCACGCACGCTTGCGGAAGTCCAAGCCCCTTACCCAAAACCTCCTTTACCCCTTCTCTCCAACCCTTTCGAGGACGACCCCTACCCCGACCTTCCTTCCCCTATAGATTATATGCTTTCCATGTCATGTCACTTTGATCCATTCTCTCTAAATGACCAAACCACCTCAACAACCCCTCCTCTGCCCTCTGACTAATACTTTTATTAACTCCAAACCTTCTCCTAATTTCCACACTCCGAATTTTCTGCATAATATTTACACCACACATTGCCCTTAAACAGGACATCTCCACTGCCTCCAAACGTCTCCTCGCTGCTGCATTTACAATTTATATTGTAATAATAATATAATAATAATATTATGTATAATAATATGTATAATAATAAAAATAATAATACATATAACAATATAAACAATTTACAGTGGAACCTCTACTTGCAAGTTTAATCCGCTCCATGACCTTTCTCGCAACTGGATTTGCTCGTTTACAGAGTCAATTTTCCTCATTTAAATTAATTGAAATGCAATTAACCCATTCCAGTGGAATTCTGTACTTCAACAATTTCGCTAATATCAACTCTACGGCTTATTTATCTATCTCACTTCATCTAATATGACATAATAAACAATATAAATAACATACAAACCTGAGATATACTCTAAAATGAATAAAATATGTCATTCATGTGGTGGTATGGGCGGTGTCAGCGGTGGACGAGAGTTTGTCTGGAGAGCAGGCAAAATACTTCACGAATAATTTAGCTAATATCATCTATACAGCTTATTTATTTATCACAGTTCATCTAATATGACATAACAAACAATATAAATAACATAAAAACATAATATATATTCTAGAATGAATAAAATACGTCAATTATATACAGTGGACCCCCGCATACTGTTGGCCTTACATAACGTTAAATCCGCATACCAATACATTTTATCGCTAAGATTTTGCCTCGCATACCGCTAAAAAACCCGCTCAACGCTGTTCGTCCGAGACGCGTCTAATGTGCGGCCTGAGCCAGCCTCACATGTTCCGCCGGTGGCATTGTTTTACAAGCCAGCCTCCGCGGTAAATCCAAGCATACAATCATAGCATTTTGTATTATTACAGTGTTTTTGGTGATTTTATCTGCAAAATAAGTGACCATGGGCCCCAAGAAAGCTTCTAGTGCCAACCCTGTGGTAAAAAGGGTGAGAAATATTATCGAAATACTGTGGTACCATGGTCAACTGCTGATGCTGCTGCTGCTGTAGCACTGTCAGCTGCTGCTGCTGCTGTAGCACTGTCAGTTGCTGCTGCTGCTGCTGCTGTACCACCGTCAGCTGCTGCTGCTGTTGTAGTACCGTCTGCTGCTGCTGCTGCTGTAGTACCGTCTGCTGCTGCTGTAGCACCGTCTGCTGCTGCTGTAGCACTGTCAGCTGCTGCTGCAGCACTGTCAGCTGCTGCTGCTGCTGCTGCTGTACCACCGTCAGCTGCTGCTGCTGTTGCTAGTACCGTCTGCTGCTGCTGTAGCATTGTCTGCTGCTGCTGTAGCACTGTCAGCTGCTGCTGCTGTAGCACTGTCAGCTGCTGGTGCTGCTGTAGCACTGTCAGCTGCTGCTGCTGCTGTACCACCGTCAGCTGCTGCTGCTGCTGCTGTAGTACAGTCTGCTGCTGCTGCTGCTGTAGTACTGTCTGCTGCTGCTGCTGCTGCTGCTGTAGTAACTGTCGCTGCTGCTGCTGCTGCTGTAGTACTGTCTGCTGCTGCTGCTGCTGTAGTACCGTCTGCTGCTGCTGTAGATCGTCTGCTGCTGCTGTAGCACTGTCAGCTGCTTGCTGCTGTGCTGCTGTAGCACTGTCAGCTGCTGCTGCTGCTGCTGCTGCTGTAGCACTGTCAGCTGCTGCTGCTGCTGCTGTAGCACTGTCAGCTGCTGCTGCTGCTGCTGTAGCACTGTCAGCTGCTGCTGCTGCTGCTGTAGCACTGTCAGCTGCTGCTGCTGTAGCACTGTCAGCTGCTGCTGTAGCACTGTCAGCTGCTGCTGCTGTAGCACCGTTGTTGGTGTGGCTTATTGAGAATACCAAGAAACAATTAACCCCAGAGGGTTAGCCACCCAGGATAACCCAAAAAAGTGTGTCATCGAAGACTGTCTAACTTATTTCCATTGGGGTCCTTAATCTTGTCTCCCAGGATGCAACCCACACCAGTCGACTAACACCCAGGTGAATAGGGAAAAACGCCTGGAACTAGTGCTCATATTGGTGAATTTAAAGCCAGCAAAGGTTGGTTTGAGAGATTTAAGAATCGCTGTTGCTGGATCAGTTAGCTGTTGCTGGATCAGTCAGCTGTTGCTGGACCAGTCAGCTGTTGCTGGATCAGTCAGCTGTTGCTGGACCAGTCAGCTGTTGCTGAGGATCAGTCAGCTGCTGCTGCACCATGGTCAGCTGCTGTTGCACCATCAGCTGTTTCTGAACATGACTCGTCCCGAACCTGTCCGTCCAGCCTGAGCGCCTGCCTTGCCGTCATTGTTTACAAGCCAGGGTGGCTGGTTGCATGCATACATTCGATACATTTTGTATTATTCCATTATTTATAGTGCTTGTAACTGCTAAATAATCCACCATGGGCCCAAAGAAAGCTTCTAGTGCCAACTCTGTGGTAAAAAGGGTGATAAATACTATCGTACCACAGTCAGCTGCACCACGGTCAGCTGATAAATTGGACCAGTCAGCTGTTGCTGCACCACAGCTGCGCTGCACCACAGCTGCAGCTGCACCATGGTCAGCTGTTGCTGCACCAGCTGCTGCTGCACCATGGTCAGCTGCACCATGGTCAGCTGTTGCTGCACCCAGCTGCTGCTGCACCATGGTCAGCTGCACCACAGCTGTTGTTGTTGCTGCACCACCATCAGCTGTATTACTCGAAGATGTGGAGTGTTGTTGGTGTGGCTTAACGTGAAACAATTACCGAGAAACAATTAACCCCAGAGGTTAGCCACCCAGGATAACCCAAGAAAGTCAGATGCATCATCGAGGACTCTCTAACTTATTTCCATTGGGGTCCTTAATCTTGTCTCCCAGGATGCAACCCACACCAGTCGACTAACACCCAGGTGAACAGGGAAAAATGCCTGGAACTAGTGCTCATATTGGTGAATTTAAAGCCAGCAAAGGTTGGTTTGAGAGATTTAAGAATCTAGTGACATACACAGTGTGATAAGGCCTGTTCTGGAAGAAAATGCCAAACAGGACCTACAGTACTCAGGAGGAAAAGGCACTCCCAGGACACAGTGTCTCATCAGTCATTGCGCATCTTCAATAAAGGTAAGTGTCATTTATTCTTCATTTAGTAGAGTAGTACATGCACAATATATATTGTGCATGTACTACTCTACTATTGTGCATGTATCCTCTCTTTGTGTGTAGGAAAATGTATATTTCATGTGGTAAATTTTTTTTTTTCATACTTTTGGTGTCTTGCACGGATTAATTGATTTCCATTATTTCTTATGGGAAAATTCATTCGCATAACGATAATTTTGCATAACAATGAGCTCTCATGAACGGATTAATATCGTTATGTGGGGGTCCACTGTAGTGGTATGGGCGGTGTCGGCGGTGGAACGAGTTTGTCTGGAGACCGATGAAAATACTTCATGAATAATTTGCTAATATCATCTATACGGCCTATTTATATATCACAGTTCATCTAATATGACATAACAAATAAAAATAACATAGAAACATGATAATACTCTAGAATGAATAAAATATGTCATTATGTAACAGGTGGAGGCAGCCACAACCGCTCCCTGTTTGTTGTGGTAAACATTGCCATCTAGTGACGGCCTTTTGAAGCTGTCTATTATAATTGTTATATGTAGTACATTATTATAGATGTATTATTATTAAACATACAGTGGAACTCAAATATCGAACTTTCTTCGGTCCAGAAGGCTGTTCGAGTGCCTTTACTGAATGAATTTATTCCCATCAGGAATAATGTAAATTAGATTAGTCCATTCCAGACCCTCAAAAATACACTTATAAAAGCACTTACAAAAATACACTTACATAATTGGCCGTGTTGGGAGCAGTTTGATTTTTGAGGTTCCACT